CCATTTTCTCAAGAGTTTTTGTTAGGAATGGGCAATGGATTTTGCCAAAGGCCTCTTAAGCATCTTCATCTTTTAAGATTAATTGTATGCTTTTCCTCCGAAGCCCTATTTATATGGTAAATTATATTATGAGATTTTCTGTTATTGAACCCTTCTCTCATTCTTGGTATACATAATTTTTAGGTAAGGTTTTCAAGTCCCATTACTATGTCTCAGTGCCTTTGTCTCTACTGACCTTGTCTCCCTGAAACCTTTTGAAAATATTACACTCTGTCTCTGAAATGATACTCTCTTCTTTGTTTCTCTTCCTTGCACATACTTTTATTTTCATATGTATTTATGTGTTTAAATGTCTGTCTCTCCCATTAAACTCTACACTCACTGAGGGTATGGAGGGCGTGGTTCTTATTTTTTAGATCAGTTTCTTGAGTGTGGAATGCATAAACCCTAAATGGCTATCCAAAAGAGGTACTCAGGAGCAGTGCTTGTCATACTTTTCTATTAACTAGCCACAGAAATTAAAATCAATTCCTATTAAAATTATGCCAGATTCAGATCTATTAGGCATCAAAACATGTCCCTTTGAATCAGTGCAACAGCTTTATGTATAAGAAAAATCCAATGCAACTCAATTATCTGTAAGAGTGGAATTATGCTGATCCACAAACTAGTGCAAAAATGGTTCTACCATAGATGGAATTCTCCAATCCCTTTTCCTCTTCCCATTCACCATGAACAGATATTTATGCCTTAATGAAAGAAAGTGCAGGATAGAGAGGCTAAGTCTTGTACATGGTTCCCAGGTTATCAGGTTCACCACCAAATCTCTCCTCACAGTTCATGTAACTGTTATTTCATCCCCTCCACTCTGCCTTCCCAGCACTTTTGAGTATTTTCTGGTGACAGCTAAATGGCATTATTACTGTAACCAGTTTTATTTGTCAGTAGGACTTCTTTGGACAGTAAATGGGGAGTTTCTGACAGAACTCAGGGCAAATGTGCACATGTACCTGGCATTTACCAAGGGTTGCTGGATGCAGCCCCTTCCATGTTCTCTCTCTCTCTTTTTTCTTTTAAAGATTATTTATTTATTTGAGAGAGAGAGCATGCACAAGCAGGGGGAGCGGCAGAGGGAGAGAAGCAGGCTCCCCGCAGAGCAGGGAGCCCGATGCGGGACTCCATCCCAGGACCCTGGGATCACGACCTGAGCCAAAGGCAGATGCTTAACTTACTGAGCCACCCAAGTGCCCCCATGTTCTCGTCTTTACGTTGCGATCTTGGGTATGTTACTCTTCTCCTTTATTTTCCTCAGTGTGCCACCATATAATCAATCTCACGGAGCCTTTGAGCAGACATGAGGAGTCTGAGTGAGCAGACCAGGCAAAGAATGTAACAGAAGTTAGAAAACTACAGAAATGCCAGTTGGGGAGAAAAATTGTATTCAGTCATTTCAAAAGTGTTCTCGGGCCCTGATCTTACCTAAGGTCATAGTCTCCTGCTCTCTTTGGTCATGCCTTCCTGGCTGCAGCATGCTGCCTTGTTAGTAATCACAGAATCCTGGAAAAGAAGTCCCTTTGCAGAAGCTGGGAAATAAAATGTCCTGCTCTTATCGTCTCATCTTGTGTTTCTCCTTGGAACATCAGCCCGTTTCTGCCAGTTAAGGTCTTTTTCTCCCATGGGGAAACTTTCACTCACCATTTCAGCTGTCTCCGCTGGACACTCAAGCTTTGTCTGGTCAACACAGCCATTATCAAAAACTCAGGCTCTGTACGTCAGCCCTCAGAGAACGAAGTTTCTGTATTTCTGCACATTCAATCTTCAAGTTCAAGCCAAAGCCAACTCTCCTAAATCAGTGTGCCACGAGGACTGCCTTCAAGAACCTCTTGCTTGCTCAGAGCTTCTGAGACAATGCTCTTCCATTATCTCTGGCCTTGGTCGGATTCTCTAAACTTCTTTTGGCTTCTGATCTTGATTATTCTTTTTTCTTTTCTTAGTCATTTTTTTTTTCACACTTCCTTGGCTATTCTACCTTCAGGGGTCAATTATTTCTACTTTTCTTTGTTTTCTGTCAGCAATTTTTAGGCATTAAAAAAATCAATATTTACTTAAATGTACACAAAACATCTCTTGTCTCCCATCCAAGTACTAACCAGGCCCAACCCTGCTTAGCTTCCGAGATCAGACGAGATCGGGCGCGTTCAGGGTGGTACGGCCGTAGACAACATCTCTTGTCTATAGTAAGAGGAGACACCAAAACAATTAAATATTATGATATAATGGAGATTTATCACACCACGGACTGGAAATCAGAGATGGATTTCCATCATTTTGGCTCTATCACGTCTTATTATGTGATGCTGGGCAACTCATATTTACATAGTATCTTAACTCCCTTTTTGTAATAGGACCTCTAATGCCCATCCTGGCAAAATGTTAAGGTTTTAAAGACCTATAATGCAAAGTGAATTTGGTCAAGCCAACCATATGTTCTTTAGTTAAAACAAAACTTATGCCGAATCAAAAAAAAAAGTGACTATTTTTGACAAAGGCACATTTTATCTCTCATTCTGGGCACTTGCATTTGATCCAAAATATGCCTACCCCTGGACTTAACTGTATAGTTATTGCTATTGCTGCAACAATGCTGTAGAACAGTTACACAATTTCAGCAGCATACAATAATATTTAATTCATGCACCTCTGAGGCAGGCTAGAGTTGGTTGGTCTAGACTGGGCTTGGCTTGGGTGGTTCTGCTTTGCTCTATGGGTCTCTCATCTTCTTGGAGTTGGCAGGCTAGCCTGAAAATGTTCTTCTCATGGTAATGGCAGAGAACCAGAGTGAGTCCAATCATACAAGCACCTTTCAAGCCTTTGCTTAGTCATGCCCATGATATTCCATTGTCCAAAACAAATCACATGGCCAAGCCCAAAGTCAAGGGGTGCTCATGGTGAAGGTGGATAAGAGGATGTTTCTGAACAATAATGTCATCTAACACACTGTGCTTTGGAAATAAGTGATGAAAATGCTTACACATGGCTTCCTCTCAGTAAAAACGAGGGCGGTCATGAAGACATCCAGAAACCTCCAGGATTAGAGTCTAGTGTTGCTATTTCTTATGTGGGACAGAACTACATCCACCTCTGGGGAGAGGAGTTGCTGGTTTAAGATAGGTTCTATGGACTTACTTACACACAATTTTGAGGTGCAGGAGAAATGGTCATTTTAGTCAAATGAGGGAGATCAAAATCACAGCACTGCCTGAAAAGCAGATTTGTGAAAAATTCCCTCTGAACCACTGTATGAATATCCCTCCACGGGTAAGCAGCTGTTCCCTGTATTCACATTAGAGATGACTTTGCAAATGCTGACCAGAACTTATTTTTAAGACAAAACTGGGTCACTTCAAAGAGGAGCTGATATAAAAACACCATGATGTCAAAGGATAGACTGAAAAGTGACATGGACTTGTGTTATACTGTAAAACTGTCCATCCCTTTAATGAAACCATCTCAACATCCTCCAACTCTGCTACTTTTACCCTAATACCTCTACTTGTATTCATGTCTCCTAATGAAGCAGTAAAATAAAGCCACAATGACTTGAACACAAATTACTGATGATTAAGTTGTATTAAATAAAAATAACTACATATGAAGCAACAGTCATATATATATGAAGTTAATCTTATCTATTTCTTGAGAATTAATGAGGAATCGAGGGTAATTAAGGCAGACAAACATTATTTTTCCGTTCATTGGGCTGTATTAGTTATCTATTACTGTTGTAACATATTATACCTAAAGACAGTGGTGTTAAATAATAAGTATTTGTTATCCCACACAGTGTCTGTGGGTCAGGAATTCAGAAGAGGTTAGCTGAGTGGTTCTGGCTCTCATGAGGTCCCAGTCAAAAGATCAACTGAGGTTGCAGTTAAGTAAAGACTTGAGTGGAGACTGGAGGACATGCTTCCAAGACGGCTCGCTCATATGGCTGGGTAGTTGATACTTGTTGTTAGCAAGAGGCTTCAGTTCCTTGACAGGTGGCCCTCCAAATAGGGCTGCTGGAGTGTCCTCACATCATGGCAAAGAGATTCTTCCAGAGAGAGTGATCAAAGAGAGATCAAGGCAGAAGCTACCATGTATCTTGTGACTTAGCCTTGGAAGTCACACTCTGGTGACTTATGCATATCTTATCGGTTATACTGGGCCTGCAACTGGTACTCACAAGACTGTACAAGTGCATGGCCCTGGATTTGAATATCTCCTTAAATTTTATACCCTAGGTGTCTTCCTTGCCTTACCCTAGTCCTGGCCAGCTATATATAAGTCAGTTGCATTCACTATCAGAGGGGACTATATAAGAGGCAAGAATCATGACGGACACATTAGAGGCTGGTCACCACAAGAAATAAGTACCTAACCGAGATTCTAATTAATGAGAAGGGACCTCCACTGGTTTCAGCAGTTCTCAACTTTGGCTGAACTCTCGAATCACCTGGAAGTGCTGATGCCTGGGCCTCACTCCACAGGGATTCTGATTTCATTGTTCTGGACTGGGACAGTCCTGATGTTCAAAAAAACTCAAAAAACTCTCCAAGTTATTCACACATGTGGTCAGGGATAAGTACACTGCAAATGAATAAATGTTCCTTTTGAGACTAAAGTCGGTACAGCATTTGCCTGTCATATCTGGCAGCAACATCTGTTGCTCCTTCCTCGGGCAGGGGTGTTTGGGTGGTTTAGAGGAACAAGGAGCATCAATAATTTATTCACTTAGGAACTCTCGTTGAATACAGAACAAGTTTGGCTAGCTAGGTTTTGTCTCTATTACCTATACATTCTGTTTGAACTATTTTTGTAAAAGATTGGTAGGAGCAGGATTAATTCATCAATGCTAGAATGATTTGAGCCTGTATTTATTTCAAGACAGATAAAAACCTGCAGATTGGATGAACAGGAGAGTGCCCAGATGAAAAAGAGAATAATAGGAATTACAGGAGTTGGATTGGGGCTAGGTTGCCTGTTTATTCATGTAACAGTTTGGTAATAGTTTGATGTACCCATGCGCACACACACACAGAGGTAAAGCTGAGGATGAGACCACTCTTAGTTCATGTCATTTAGAGGCCAATGAAATGTTACCTATGTCTACTAGGCTACTTGGTTGTTGGCTAGTTTTCCCTTTGACCCCTCCTCATTCCATGGGGCAGGATGCTGGGCAGAACGTGGTGGGAGGAAGGGGGACTGGGACTGGTGTCTTGTGCAAGGTATTAGGATTTTCTCTAGTGAAAAGAAGCAAAATATTTTCAGTACGAAGACTACTTGCACTTACTTGAAACTCTTGCTAGAACTTTCACATTTTCTTCTTTTTGTAATTTTCCTAGGGAATGCAACAAACCTCAGCGATGATCATGCTTTTGGCAAATAGTTTAGAATGTTGGCAGATGCCCAAATAGAAGAGGATCTGGCATGGACTATGCTTGAAACCACTGTCGTCACCTCAGTCAGAGAACTAAAGTGAAACAGAAAAACACCGCAAGCACTTTTTAATAACAGCAGCCTAATTTGCACTTCCTACATAAGCGAGAACGTTCCTACAGATCGCATTGGGTATGAGCATGACTTCGCCTCTCATTCTTGCTCAATTTCAGGCACGTGCAGATGAAAGAGGCTGAGTTGCTGGGAGAACAGGTCATTCACTTCTGACATCCACTTCAGCTGCAGTACAGGCTTGGCTAGAGGGCAATTATATTAATAAAGCACAATATCCACCTTCTCACAGGATTCTAGCAGAATTCTATACGGCAAAGTCTCAAGGGGGCTAGAGTGTCTCCATCTCATGACAAGGCAGATCACTTCCAATGGACTCTTGAATGCAAGTGTACTTGATGGGAGGTGGAGGTGGCTTGAAAGGCGGGGGTCTTTCCATGCTAGGAACAAAACATTGCTCTTTCAATGCTAAGAATGTGAGGCGGTGATTCAAGGAAACAGGAAAATAGAAAACAGAGAAAGAGACATGCCCACCAGTCCCCTCAGAATCTTTCTGTCTGCCTATTAGCTGTGTTATGATAATATCATTAATTAATATTTATATGGTATTTTATAGTTTGCAAAGCATTTTTATCATAACATTATTTAATTTGTATCTAGGGATTGGACATTATTGTCACCATTCTATAGATAATACTGAGGCTCAGAGGTCTTCAGCAACTTGCCAAAGAGAACCAGACCAGCAATTCTGGTCTTTCAACCAGAACCCATATTCTCCATGGAAACTGCCTCCTAATAGAAGAAGTGTTCCTCTTATGTGGGTTAAAACACTCCTCCAGAGACAAAATTTTTAAATTCTGGGACTAAAGACTGAAGGTTTTCAAATAATCCCTTTGCCAACTTTACCCCCCAGCCTTCACCCACACATTTACTGTATACTGTGAGGATAGGGTTGAGGTGGGAAGAAAAGCTCTTCTAGATCCTTGAATTGGTTGATACTGGATGGTTAATGCAGGAATCCCTTACATTTGAATCAGCGAACATTCTTAAAATCATCTTTATATAAAGTACTGTTCTACGTTAGCACAACTCATCTCTTTGTCTGAAATGCATCAGGCATATGTGTGAGTTTGGGATTTAGCTGTACGAATATTCCAGCTCTCTTGATATCAAGATGCCAGAAATTCATCTGTGAGCAGATTTCTGTCCTTGACTCAAACATCTCCACCGCTTGTTGGTAAATCCATAGCACCTTAATTTCTCCAGAGAGATAGAGATGGAAATGGACATGGAGAAGGACACACACACACACACACACACACAGATTCTCATCTCTATATAACACAAACATTTGAATACAGAATAAAAAAAATCAATTCAAAATTTCAGATTCCCATTTTCTCATTTTAATAAAAATATCTAATGCCTATTACCTGTTTTTTTCTGATGCCTCGATGCAGACAATATAATTCAACAGGTAGATAAAATTGTAAGAAATTTGTACTTCTGTTTTTTCAGGGAAATTATGAAGTCCTCCAGGTCATATGGTAGCCGAAGTGTAGTCCTTGGACGAGAGTCCAGAATTTCAGACTACTGCTTTAGCGTGTGTTTTTTCTTTTTTTAAGATTTTATTTACTTGACAGAGAGCACAAGCAGAGGGAGAGAGAGGGAGAAGCAGGCTCCCTGCTGAGCAAGGAGCCCGATGTGGGACTCGATCCCAGGACCCTGGGAACATGACCCGGGCTGAAGGCAGCCGCTTAACCGACTGAGCCCCCCAGGCGTCCCTAGCGTTTTGTTTTTCACCATGAACACTCACTGCACAGTGGTTATAGAGTCTTCGAGGACAGTCTAAGTCGAAGGTACTGCACAGTGGTCACTGGCATCTTAGAGAGCAGCAGCAGAAGGAGAGGAAGAGTAGCTCTGTATGCTGTAGGGCTCTCCTCCAGTCATGGTCTACTCTGGATCCAAAATAGCCAAGTCAGAAAAGCGAGGCTTAATCTGACAAGTCATTTCAGATTGTGGAGTGGAGGGAAAAGAATTTTGGAATATATTTCAATAAGACAAAGGAGGGGTAACCCACGGTTGACTTTCTTTTGTCCTCGGGGAAAAAGGAAAAGGCTGGTAAAAGCCCATTCTGCTGGAAAGCAGCTGGAGTTTCTTAAAATTACCTTTCTCACTCCATTTCACACTTGAGAATCTGGGCCCAGGTGGGCCCAGGCAGTTCAGAGATGCATGAACATGAAAAAGTAAGGAAGATTAAAAGAAAAATCAGTTTTAGTGTTTGAGGTGAGGCAAGGCTCAGTTCTCATTTCATGCCACTTGTTCCATCTGACGAATGTCAGAGACCCAACTGGCAGAGGGGGACACTGAGTCAGAGGTTGTGCAACTCATCCCAGCTGGGTGGTGCTGGGCAAGCTGTGGAGCTTCTCTGAGCTTCTCTGAGTACCCTTTCCTCAGTTCTTTTTTTTTTTTTTTTAAAGATTTTATTTATTTATTTGAGACAGAATGAGAGAGAGAGAGAGAGAGAGCACGTGAGAGGGGGGAGGGTCAGAGGGAGAAGCAGGCTCCCCGCCGAGCAGGGAGCCCCATGCGGGACTCGATCCAGGGACTCCAGGATCATGACCTGAGCCGAAGGCAGTCGCTTAATCAGCTGAGCCACCCAGGCACCCCATCCTTTCCTCAGTTCTATATGAGAACTCCGTATAGGAGTGATATTTAAAGTGCTGAGTGAATGTGTTGTACTGAAAAAGTGTCTCTGTTCCTGCAGATTCAGGAACAGAATTATACTCACATTTCCTTCTGGTATTGACACCATTTTCTCACTCCAAGACCAAACAATGCTATGCAGAAAGAGAGCAAAGCTGCTACAATCACCGGCCAGGACATTCCATCTTTAGGTTTATTGGCCACAATACCTGCAAAGGGCATAAAGAGGGATGAACTTTAATGCCAAACTTTGGCAATTAGAAAGCACGATGAATTGAACTCTCTTACCTGTTTTCTCCACGGGCCATCACGGACCACAGTCATGCTCTGGGGTCATATCTATGCCTTGTTCTCACTTCTGTTTTTGCATGTCTGCAGTTACTTTTTATGTGAATGTCTTTCTTGTTAGAATGTTCCAGAATGAATCTTTTTTTTTTTTCTTTCATTTTTCCAAGGTCCTGGACAATCCCTGGCACATGATGGCCAATGAAATGTCATTTGTAAGAATGAATAAATAAAAGGAGTAAGCTCTAAATCTGTATTCCAGATTTACTCCAGTAAAGGAAACTTTATGTGAAATAATGGCCTAGCTTTGATTCTCTTATTCTTTAAGAAGCCATTAAATGCTTTATGGAATATTAGTGTATTAGGAGGAGGAAGAAAGAGTAAAAAGCATTATAACACTGTAACATTCCAGTGCCCTGAAAATCCCAAACTGAAAAGTCCTGGCTACTACGTATCAAGTTGTGGTGCTCAAAAGATCATCATCCAAGACTTTTCATTTGGATGTCATTCGAGGAATGATATCCAGAATAGAGATTTTCTAATCCTTTCTACCACCTCCCCTTTTTTCTTTCTTTCCCCTTTTACACATTTCAGCAATAGAAAGGAGAGAAGTGACAAAAGGGGTAAAACTGAAACCAGTTATTTTGCTCTTTCTATGGTCTGCAAAGGAAGGAAGTCAAAAGTAAAGGGCTGGGAGAAATTATATTGGTGGGTGATAAATGGACTGATTTTTCTTACCCCTTCTGATTATATCCACACTCAATTCATTCATTGTATTTCTAGCATTTGTACACCAAGTCAAACTGTGTGAATCAAAGACTTTCAATTATTGTTGATTTTAGACCAGAGGCCATGTAAATATCATATTCTGGACTGTTTTACCTTTTTTCTAACATGAAGGAAGAATTAAGAAAATTCTCTTAGGAAATAAGGTTGTCAAATTCTATGGCAGGGAATAAAAGGGAATGTTTATAATTACATAGTTACTTAATATTTTCCTTTTTAAAAGGACTGACTTCAGATGCCAGCTATCCATATTAGAGGCAATAACTTTTAATAGTTAATTATGTATCTCACTGGAATTTTCTATGCATATATAAACATATATATGTATCATGAATATACATCTTTTTTTCTTAGAAATGAGGGCAATACATATTGTTCTGTCCCTTGCGTCTTTCTTTTTTAAAAAATGCTCTTGGAATACTTTCCACGAAAGTGTATAGAGATTTACCTTCTTTGATTAAATGAGTGGATAGTTCCCCAATGCATAGATGTATCATGGTTTATTTAATTGGTCTCTTAATGTTCGAGGGTTAAATTGTTTCAGGCTTTTGTTATTTCTAACAACACCCCAGTGAAATTCCTTATACATTATGGATAGATCTTTAGCTCTTCAGATTATTTAGATCATTTGGGCAAAAAGTCCATTTTGTATCAGAATTATCTGGATTGATTTTCTAGATTGTGAACTGTTTGTAGGTGGAGACTGGGTTTTTATTTTCTTTTATTGCCTCATATTTATTACAGTGCTTTTTATAAAGCAAAGTCTCAAAATCCATAGGCCAAAAAAAGTGGATTGAAAATATTAGTTACCAAATCTTTCCGATATTTAGCATAGGTTGGACTGCAGCAATATGATGTTGTTATGTTTATAACACATATCCAGACACTTGGGGTCTTTCTGATGCTCACCCAACATCAGCCTAGTCTAAGCAGATGCTGAGTACTCTGGAAGCCCATGTAGTCCTATAATACATACCCATATGCTATGTTGTATGTGCAGGTGACTAGTTCACACTAGTTCATGGTAGTAGTGGAACTGTGAAAGACTAGAGTATCATGATCATAAAAGAAACAATCATACAGATGGTCAACCCAAGCTACACAAAGTACTGTTTCAGTCAAGTCAAAATTTACTAGGCTCTATACACTGGTAACATGGTGGGATATAACATTTTACCCCTAAAGTTTCAGAGAAATAAAAGAACAAAAGGTTTTAAATGGGTTTTACATCAATGCTTAAAACTTTTTCTCCCTACCACATATAGAAAATGAGACCACTGACTTCAGGAATATCCTAGTGGAGAAGCAGAGCTCCAATCTTGTCCCTTCTCTGAACTAGGCAGTTTTTTAAGGCACCAATATCTGAAAGGCATTGGTAGAACCTCAGTTTGTTTTATTGGCATGTTGTATGCAGCATGATGCTCCAAAGATCTGAGGACTAGATGACCTTCGATATAGAATAAGCTGAGTATTCAAGTGGAGTGTTCACCAGTCAAGAGAACACCCCCTGAAGTCAAAGAGTTGATTATGTCTCTGAACTTACAATCAAGACCTGGGATGGGAGGGTCTTGACCTCTTATGATATAAAACAAGAAATTATATTCAGTATTGACAAAATTTTATTAGTTTAATTATGGAAATACTCTTTGTTCCAACAATCTTTCTTGTCTCAGATATATTTTCATAGGATAGAATGTTTCTCATTACTTTTCACCTGGCTAATTTTTATTCATTTTTCAGATTTTAACTTAAGTAGATCCTTAGAGGCTCCTTTCCTGTTGCCAGTTAAAATTAGATCTTTCTGTTACATTCTGACAATCCCTTATACTATATCATAGTATCTGTCACAAATAAATTTAATTGTATGATTACTTACTTATGTATATTATCTTCAATAGATTATAATCTTCAGAAGGCCTGTGTTTTCAAGGTCTCTTCTGTATACAAGACAAGAAAGATCTACTTCTTTCACAGTGTATACCCAACAACTGGTACAGTGTCTGGCAAATGGTAGGTACTCAACAAATATTCGCTGAGTGAATAAAACACAAAATTTAGAAAAAAGTAAATGACTCACCAGTGATATGGATGTGAATATTTTTTGTCGATCCATTGGCAGTTGTGGGAACCTCTGAAAATGTTCTGGTTGTGCTGGTGAAGACATCACCTAGGGATATACAGGGGATATCGGAACTGATCCTAATAGCCATCTCAACCCAATGAAGTGGTGTAAAACCATGATTGGATTTCACTTGCTATTAGGAAGAGCTCAATTTTAATGGCCTAAATGCTCCTACAGTACTACGTATACAGTTTACTAAGGACCAGTTTACAGCAAGGCGTGGACCTTAGAATCTAATAACTACCAAAGAAGTGAAACTCTCTGTTGGTTTAAAGAAGAAAAGAGAAGCTGTACAGCACACATAACAAAGCAATATCTGCTAAAGAATCCCCATGAGAAATTTAAGTGGTTATGGGAAAATGTCTTATGTTGGAGCTACAGAAAAATGGGCCTTTCTTATTCTCCCAGGGTATCAGAGATTCAGACAATCAAATGCCAATTCTCCCACTATAATGTGTTTGATAAGGTCAATAAAACTTCCTTTGCAACATTTTAGTAGACAAATCCGAGTTGACAAATCATCTCAATTTCTAATGAAAATGCAATTTTAATGGATTTAATTAGCCAGGAAATGCTATTTTGTAGATTTCATTTTGAAATAAAATAGAGGAAAAAAAATCTAGGACTTGGTCTCTGACTAGCTTCTTTGAGTGACTGTGGCTGGGAAAAATTTTGGTTTTATTTATTATCATTTTCATCATCAAGGTGCACTTTTCAATACCTATCTGAGATCGGTTTCTTACCAGTTCTTGTTTTTCCACCTTTGCCCAAATAAAGCAGACCACTATCTCTCCTGACCCTAAATCTCCCCCCAAGTACTCACCATGAATTGTTGAGCTTGCACCTGAGGCGGATGAACTATATGTTTCACTGGGCATCCATGAAGCTGCTAAAGAAGATATTGGAAGAGTCAACCTGTATAAGACTAGTTATTTTATTGTCTCTTCTTGACTTTTAATTGAATCTAATAGTTTATAGTGAAATAACAAAATGAAAAAAAGGTTATTAATGAATATGTAAAGCAAAATCACTGAACTATTCTGCTGCACACATTAGAATGTCCCAAAATAAAGTGGGAGTTGAGGGAAAACTTGTGATCCTGATGTCTCAAATAGGGGAGGTTTTGATTATAGCCACTTAGAAGCAGGAAGAAGAAATGGAAGCAAAACACTAGGAGAGGTTTCTCTAGCCACAGAGAGTGTGTTGTGACTATTCTTGTGTCCATCCAATATATGGGAGAGATTGAAAGCCCAGGTGTGTTATGGGGGCCTTTAGTCAAGCAAAGGTGCCAAAAGGACTCTGAAGACCTTGGTAGAACATGCATGAGGGAACAAAACAGTTTGTACTTGTGCATAAGCTGATATTTTTGTTTGGCTCTGACAACTGAACTGTGTCAACAGTGAATTTTCAGACCCCTCTAGTCACAGGCCTCGCTGTGCTGAGTTGTCTTGATGGATTCAGAAGCAAACCTTCCCCTTGAGTGGATGGCAGCATCCACTATAGCTTTTGGAGTAGATCTATCAACCGATTTTGTTTAGTTCCCCATCTCTGGCAAGAAAGTTCCACTTCTTGGCAGGCTCTGCATTTCTGTATTTGACAACAGGCCTATAATGCAGTGTAAAGTAAAATAGCTATAGTTACATGTAGTTGCGATCAGTAGAAAAAGATTATGCTCATTTATTTAAAACATTAGCATGTATGATTTTCCAAGTTAAGTGCTTTCTTGTGTGTCAAGACCAAAACAAATAAGCAAAACCAAACCATACCAAAACAAACATTGAACCCCCCCCCCCCAAACCAAAAGCCCTTAGTCCTCCCCTTTCTTGGTTTCTCCCTAGATGCCAATGGCAATTGCAGCTGTAGACATTATCAGGCCCTTCAGGAGAGGTATAACTCCATGCTTTCCAGGGACTGCTCACAGTACAGTCTGCCATAGCCCACTGACTTGGGGTCACTCCAGAGGTAAGGGCAGTTTTATACACAGCTATTTTGAATTGGACTAGGTCAGGGAGATGTTCTTATTTTCAGTATAATTATCTGACCCTGAACATGTGGTCTTCACTACTTTTTGTTGGTGCTGTTCTAGACAGAATACCAGGGTCAATAGATGATGGACTGAGTGTTTCAAAAGCCCATTTTTAAAGGCTAAGCCTTAATGGTGGAGATTTGACTAACAAAGAACAGCAACTAATTAAAAAGAAATTGGGACTAGGCCTGGATTTAGGTAGAATTACGAAGAACCTTACAAGATATTTTGCCCAACATGGTGCCTCCTTTACTTGTTACTTTTAGGGCTTGATACCTTTATTTTTTATTTTTTCAAAGTCTGTTTGCAAGAAAGGATGTGATAAATTAATTTATGCTAAGATATAAATAGTTGAACAAGTGCTATCCCTTTGAGGTAAGTGGGTATTTCATTTTTTCCATTTCATATTTATCTCATCAGCAAGTAAATACAGAACATTGTTTTTAAGATTTTATTTTTAAATAGTCTCTACACCCGACTTGGGGCTCCATCTTACAACCCCAAGATCAAGCATTACCTGCTCTACCGACTGAGCCAGCCAGGCGCCCGAATACAGAACATTTTGTAATGGTCAGTTACATGCAGGTACCCAGTTTTCTCACCAAATATAGACTGCCAATCTTTTCTGCTCAATATTAATTTTCCTCAGGCAAAATAACCAAGCATAGCACAATTTCAGGAGATGGTGATACCATCAGCATGATCCATCCAAATGACAAAAATGGCAGTATTTAAAATTATGCAAATTCGTTGACCACTTTTTAAATCTTCCTTTTTACACTTCTACTCCTCAGAAAATGTGTGATAAAATTAAGCTACAGAATCCACTTTGGAAAAGCAGGGAGTTATTTTTCTAGTTTTGGTTTTAAGATTTGTTTTTAATCTGTTAAAAAATATAATGGGAGTGTGTTGATAGAGGTGAAGAAAAAGGAGGTTCCAGTTGATGGATTCAACATGTCTGAAAATACTTAAGTAATATAAAGAAAAAACTTCAAGAGGGAGAATGTATTATACCTGAGTCTTTCAGCAAGATGAAGAGATGAGCAATTCTTGTATCAATTGCCCCCACAGGAAAGAGGTCTTCCTGAAGAATCCTCAGTAAGATAGAGTTGGCTACTTCTAAAGATGCATCTTTCACTAACATAATACTTTTCTAAAAGCTTATCCACTCTATCATTTAGATATCCAATTTTCAGAATGTGCTCCACATTGGCTATTCGATCTGCCATTCTTAAGTTTCCTTGAGAGTCTCTCAGCAGAATTATGTTTTTATGTCTTTTAATTGATTGAAATATTTTGTGTTCTTTATACTACCATTCTGTTTGTTAAATACATTAGTTATTTTTCCTTTAAATCTTTTGAGACTCCATTTTCATCAAAATCCATGAATAAACAGTACTTTGACATTTGGATGATAAACACCAGCTTGATGGATAACCTTCTTGAGTACATCACCATTATCAGCTGAAAATACGAACACAAGGATGCTGTGTTGCCGGAGTTTCTCAAATAAACTTTTATATCCTTCCTGAAGCATAACACTGGATTCTTCAATTTATTTAAATTTATCATTGGATGAAGCTTATTCAACAAGGAAACTATGTGCTTTAGCATGTCTTTATACCATAAAGGGATATTTCATCCTACGGTAAAAACAGAATCAATTTTGACAACATGCAAAAACTTTCTTGACATTCTTTTGTAACCATTTTACAGTGGGCAATACTATTATGACATGTTGGGCATCTTTTCCCTTTGTAGGAAAATGTGCTTAGTGTCATATCAAAATCCATGGTTACCTGAGGTTTGATAGCTCCTTTTTTGATCAAACTACAGATAATTTCTGTTACTTTTACAGGGCAAGCTGATGCAAGCTGAACTTTTCTGGAATTTGGACATCATCTTTACACGTAAATTTACTGAGACTTGTCTCAGTTATCCAATCTTTCTTAAGACATTCTGAGTTCTTCTGTTCTTGGTTTTGTCCTGGAATGATGGCATGGGTGGCAAGCAATATTCAGAGATGCAGGACTTGGGTACAGGAATCTCAATGATCTTGGTTTTCTGCCCCATCCTCCTCTTCAGGGTGAATATGTACTGGGCCAGCACCACCCCTTACACCAGGATGCCCATGCTGACACCAGCTACCCTGTTTGTTCTTGCCATGACCACTTCATCTATAGATGGGACCCTCATGCTCTTCCTGACCATGGAAAAAAGATGACACTCATGGTCTTTGGAAATGCAGGGCTTGTGTGCTAGCTGTGGAGAGACTCATGAAACCCCCAGAACTTGGTGTTTTAACAGACAATAGAAAATAAAATCGGAGAAAGAAATCTTGAATTTGTGGTTGACCTAATCAGGAACCAGGTAACAGAATGGGAGAACAGTGTTTTAGAGAAGAGGAAAGTAGAATGAGAAGTGATCTGAGACATATAAGATTTTAGAACTTGAGGGCAAGAATGGTGAGTTTAGAGACTCAGCATCGCAGCCAACAGGGAGCAACAGGGCTTCGGGGATGATCCTATAGCCTGAAAGAAGAGCAGGGCCCAACATTGCTGTAGGTTCTGGCATTGCTATGTCCCTGTAATTGACTCTCAGCCGCTCAACTCCAGCCTCTCCATCTCTTCTGCCTATGGAAAGTAGAAGGGGTTGCTATGAAATTATTAGGCACAGCTACCAAGGGCCTGAGAAGAACCACCCAGGACCAGGGACAGGGTAAACAATGGAATTGCAAGATTTACAAAGAAGAGTAGATAAATTTTGAAGAATAAGGAATGTATGGTCAAAGAACAAAATAAAGACGCTAGGTGAGGTCTTTAAGATGTACTCTGAGGCCCAGGTGTGTGTGTGTAAGTGTGTGTGTGTGCGTGCGCACATGCGCGCGCGTGTACATACATGCATGGACGCATGTGGTGAGGTAATGATACGCTTGCTGATTTTGGTAATGGGGCAAATTGGAGGCAAAGGAGCCTATGGAGACTCATATCATTTTTCTGCTTGTCTAACTTAGCCAGAGTGACTGATTTCAATGTGGCTTTAGGCTCCACTGGACCGGATGGATGGCAGGGAAAAACAGAAAGAAAAAAGTAATTAAGCTTCACTTTTCTGTTCCATGGCCTGATCACCTGAGTGTCAGGATGAAAATATCCCAGGATGTTATTAACCTTATATACTTGGGTTATTTAGGTGGTCAGATTTGATATCCCCATTTCATAGGTGGTTAAAGTAAAATATGCATTTCTGTTCCAGGCTGTTGGAAACTTGGAAGCTGAACTAGGATTAGATGCTAATATTCTAAAGTTGATAAAATGACAACAAAAGAATATATTAAAACACATACTTATAAATTTAGTGTAAATGCAATGCACCCAGAATCTTCTAGTGACATCCAAATATATGTAAGCTACACAAAATGCATAAGCAAATATCCCATTAGAATGTGCTCACAAATTGCAAGAGCTTTAGAAACACTGCTGGTGGGTTTATTTCACCAGAAATCCATCCATTATCATTCTTTTTCTGCCTGTGAACATTTCATAAATCTATTGAAATAAACACACTGGAAGGAAAAAGAATCCCATTACCAATGCCTGTCACGAATCTTGCCAAATGCATCATCTAATACTGGATGTCACAAAACAGTCCAATCCAACGAGTAGAAACACGTTTCACAAATAGTTTGGGAGTGAGCAATCAATATTAACTTGTTGGATCCTAATGTGTTTTTGTGAATGATTATAAATAGAGCAACTTCCTGCAGGGAATTTTTTTCTCTAAGCTTACGGATAAAAAATGGCAACTAGTAAACAACATATTCTTATTTGCATAAGTAAGAATGTGAGTTTTCACAGCGAGGAAAATTTTGTTTGTTGGGTTTTAGAGTCCCTTCCTAGATTTCACAATTTCTAAGGCTATTTCATGGTAAGAATGATAAAGAGATGTCTGAGGATAAATGAAGTTTTCAAGTGGGGTAGGACAGAAGATATGAGGCATTGCAGTAGTTCATTTCATTATGAAATCTACTAAAACGACCAAGAATATACTTGTGTAAATTATAAAGCACTTTCATGCAAGACCTTTCAGTTTTCCAATTTCTGGGGCAGAAAATATTTTGGGTGGCCTCTATGCTTCATAATGATATGATGCATGGAATGAACAGGATTTCTTTTTTATTCTGGGCACACATAATATTGTAATAACAATTGAAATAAAGCAAACAAAAAGTTCAAAAATTCCATTTATGCAGATCATTTCTTTTCACTGTGTACGTTTGTGTGCGTTTTCTTCCTTGTCCTTGTCCATATGTACACATATTCTTTCAATTGTTCAAGAAATATTTGCTGAGCACCTCTTGTATGCCTGCCACTGCTACAGACATTATCCAGTGAGCAAGACAGGAAAAGTTTTACATCCCTGTTATTGTGTATCTTACATCTCAGCATAATTTCAACAAAAAAATCAAATAAAGAAAATAAAGAAAATCATCAGACACCAAGTATTATGCTGAGATTGAAAATATGGGATAATTTATATGTAATCATAGCATAAATTTAAATTGGAATTCAGGGATGCCTGGGTGGCTCAGTCAGTTAAGCGTCTGCCTTCCACTCAGGTCATGATCCCAGGGCCTTGGGATGGAGCCCCATGTCAGGCTCCCCGCTCATCGGGAAGTCTGCTTGTCCCTCTCCCCCTTGCTCATGCTCTCTCTCTCACTATCTCTCTTTCTCTCTCAAATAAATAAATAAAATCTTCTAAAAAATAAATAAATTGGAGTTCAGCTTTATCCTATACTATTGTCTAATAATCTTTTATTTTTTATTTTTTTGAAGATTTTATTTATTCATTTATTTGAGATAGAGAGAGAGAGGTGGGAGGAGCAGAGGGAAAGGGATAAGCAGACTCCACACTGGTCATGGAGCCCAACACAGGGCTGGATCTCACAACCCTGAGATTATGACCTGAGCCGAAATCAAGAGTTGGAAGCTTAACTGACTGAGCCACCCAGGAGCCCCTCCAAAAATCTTTTATCACCATCGCTACAGAGTTTCCCTCTACAACCAACAAGTATTGATTCATTTATCCATTCAACAATATTTGTTGAGCACCAACTATATGCCAGGCATTTCCTTAGGTACTGGGGATAAAGGTAAGCAACAAAAACAAAAAAAGATATGGAACTTGTATTATACCATTGAGAATAAAGGATGACAAACTAGTGTAGGTAAAGGAGAGTTTCAGTATAGTTCATTACAAACTCAATTTTATGTTAACACCATATAGGATAAATGTTAGTCTGTTAAGTATGGACTTTCATCCCCAGTCTAACTAATATATTTTATTTTCAATTTATAACCGAGGGCTGAAAATTGTCTATACAATAAGATGTACTGGCTAGCTTAGTACATTATGTCTATTGCTTGGATTGGCTTCATAACATTGCACTGAATTATTATCTAATCCTATTTTACATTCGGATATATTTTTCTTTAACACTCTCTCACCCCCAGTCTTATACACAGATTGTTGGACTACTATAAGTAACATTATGTCTTCTCCCTGGCTCATCCCTTGTATGCCCATTCCAAAGCAAATGCTCTTCTGAATGTTCTGTCTATTACTCACTTACTTATATAGTTTTTAAGTTTTTATCACGTTATGCCTAAGCCACATGGTGTTTGGTTGTACTTGCTTTAATAATTTATATAAAAATCTCATTCCAGGGGTGCCTGTGTGGCTCAGTCAGTTGGGCGTCTGCTCAGATTGCAAACTCAGGGCCATGAGCTCGTGCCCCATGTTGGGTTCCTCTCTCAGTGCAGAGACTGCTTGAGATTCTCTCTCCTTCTCCCTCTGCCTCTTCCCCCCACTTGCGCTCTCTCTCTAAATAAATAAAATCTTTAAAATATATATATATCATTCCATATATTGTCACCTAGCATTTACTTTTCTGACTCAGTACAATGTTATTAAGATCCATTCATGCTGTTATGTGGCTGTCATTCACTCATTTTTCATTGTTCTGTAATATTTTATTATATGACTGTGCAACAATTTGTCTATTCTCTTGGCTATGATGATTTAGGTTATTTACAGTTTCTGCTATTATGAATAGTGTTTTCCCCTGACATTTGTGTGCACATTTCCTGGTAACATGTACTAGCGTGTGTGTAGAAGGGTGGAGTATATATCTAGGAGTGGAATTGTTGGGCTGTAGGATATGAAATTGTTTGGCATTAAAATACCATGTCAAAATGGTGGAAAGTGATGGTACCAACTTGTACTTTCACCAGCAACATATAAAAAATTATATTGATCTACATCCTATCTAACACTTGATAATTCCAGACTTGTTAATTTTTGCCGATTGATGATATGTGAAATGGTTATCTGATTCTCGTCTTCGTTTGCATTTCCTGATTGCCAGGGAGGCTAAGCATCTCTTTGGATGTTTTCTAGCCACCGCATTACATCTTTTGTGATGTGCCTCTCTGCTCATTTTCTAATGTTTTTATATTTTTAAAAATTGATTTCTAGCCATTCTTTATATACTTCATATAAAGTTTTAATTCCTTGTCAATTATATATTCCTGATCATTTTTCAATTACATATGTTGCAAATATCTTCTCCTACACTATAGCTTGCCTTTTTTTTTTTTCACTTCTGCTAAGGTGTCTTTTGATAGAATTTTCTTAACTTTATGGTATTCTAATGTTTCCCTCATTTTTATGGTTAGTGCTTTATGTCTCTTCTTTAAGCCCTTCCTTACCCCAAAGCCAGAAAGAAATTCACCTTTATTTTATTACATGCTTTAATGTTTGCTTTTGACATAAAGATCTCATATTCTATGGAGCCCATTTTAATGTAATGTGCATGACAGGCATACATTTTAATACCTTTTTTTCTTATAAATAGTCAAGGTTTGCAGATCCCTTTGCTGATTGCCTTCTCTTTTCACAGGAATCTGCCATGTTGCCTCTGGCATCTCTAGGTTATGCTTATTTGTGGATCTCTGGGTGTGCTCTCTCTTCTGATCCGCCCCTTTTCATCTCTCGTATTTGGGCACTGAATTCACAGGTGTCTGTTACATTATTAACGTATTTGTTAAAAGACACATGTTAAAATAAATTATAGAGGGTCATACACAAACGGTCAAAGTGTGTCATGCATTAAGGATCATGATTAATCCAGATCTGTGAACCTGAGGTCCATAAAGGAGGTAAAATAAGTAACTAACGCGACCAAGAGCAACATTATACATGTTCCCTTTGCTCTTTACTTCCTGAGGACACATTCCCAGCAGTGAGATGACAGAGCCAGCAGGTATAAAAGACTTCTAGAGGCTCTAAATGTACAACTTAAACGCCAGCATTTACTCTTTGTGGCCAAGGGCCTGGCAGGTAAACCCAGAGTTCTGCAGCAGCGGATCGGGTCTTTGCCGCAGCCACATCCCTGCCGCTTCCCTAACCACGCAGATCTCCGTCTTGTACCACTAGGAGGCAGTATACTTCCTCTTCAGATGCTGTGGCTCCCTGCTGAAGCAGCATCAGCACAGACTGCCGCCAGGTGGCCAGAGGCAAAGGCCAGACCATTTCTGTGCCTCGCGCCGGCTCCCTCTTCTCACTGCTCTTCGTGATACGTGTGTTCTGGCTGGTTCCCTCTCTCCTCCGGTATCCTCATAGTTTGCTCTTTCTTCTCCCTGGGTTAGATCTTCCCTCAGATGTCACCTTGCTCAGGAAGGCCTTGCAAAACCACCCTACTCAAAATGGCAGCCCACTCTCCCACCTGATCCTCGATGTCCCCCTCCACTGCTTGCTTTGTTCCCTATCGCTCATCACCATTTGCTTGTCTCTCTTCCCCCAGAATTTGGAACTTAGATCCGTTTTGTTCACGGATGTATCCCCAGCAACTACAACAATGCTTTAAACACAGGAGATGTCTTGTAAGTATTTGTTAATATGATTATGAGCAGAGCACGTGGTAGTTGCTCATTATACGTGTTGGATGAATTAATGAGGCCCAGAAGACCCCAAGGGACTCACAGTTACACTTACAGTTTTTGGTATCTTGCCTGCTGGGGGTCCAGGAGTAGTTGAAGCCTTGGGTAGTCACACTGGAATTGCTGGCTGGAAGACAAAATTCTCAGAATCCAAACTTCTTATACAACTGTGATTTCACTTTACTTTGATGTGCTGAATTTTTTATCTATGTGACTTTGGGGAAATCTGAAATTGAAAACGTGCTTTCCTATACAGGGACATAGCTGGCATATTAAGCAAAAGCTCTGTAGTTTATGTTTAATGCCAACTTGTCAATGATTTTCTTTCTTTTTCTGTTCTTGTTGCCAACCCAGATCACTGGGAGTACTGTCAAGACTACTTTCATGTTATCTTAAAATTCCACGAGAAATGAAAAGTATAGTATAATAATTCACCAACCCATATTTTGAAGATTACAGTGATTGTCATATCAACGTATAGCCATCATTTACATTACAATTTGCCACAGAGCAGCTTGAAACCAAAATATCAACATCAAATGAAAAACATAGCCTTTTGCCCAAACCTCAACATTGTCAGAGCTGTACTAAAACTTGTGTTTTGTCTCTTTTCAGTCACATAAGGAAAGTCTGCTATACTCACTTTGAGGGGTGGTATTTGGAGTCAGAGAACCCACATCTCCAAGGGCTGTGGAAGATACAGCTGGATATCCTATTTTGAAAACAAAATTCCCAAATTATTGTAGGCGTTTACATTCCCATGTTTAATATGCTGCTGTACCTAACAAGGGTGGCATGCAGAGCGGGAATATTAAAGAAGGAAAGAACCTTAGTGAATACGTAGTCTAATGACTTCATTTTATCAACTATGAAACTGAGTCCAAAAGGCATATGCCTGTGGCTACATAACCAATATTCAGTATCATTTATATGATATTAATCCAGTTCTCCTATCTCCAAGTGTAGTACATTCACACTTTCAAAATACATTGTTTTAGTGTCCACTGTGTGCCAGACTCCAGTCTACACACAACAATGAAGACGAGGTTCTTGCCCTCATGGAACTTACCTTGAGTGAGTTTTCACAATTGTACACAAATTTTCATATGTGCAATATGGTTACTTATCTACTTTAGTTCTTAGCTTTCAAAATCACCCTCATCCTTATAGTCCATCATTTCCCATTCTTCTCCTCTCTCTCTTCCCCCCAAAATGAGACTTATTCATATTCATTTGAAAATATCTCTAGGGTTGAAGCAATACCCAATACACTCCATTGAAAACATGGTCATATCTCTTGGAAAACAAATATATTTAAGGTTGCTTCCATAAATACTCAATTCAAGAAGATAACAGAAGTAGATAGAAAGGGAAACTCAAGGCAAGGAAAATAGAGTTAGAAAAAGTATGTTGATCCCTGTCGAAACCTGGGTGGGGATAGTACACAAAATGCATTTCTTGATGTTGTGTACTCTTAATAGATATGGGTCCAAAATTTAGTCAGAACTTTCTAGTAATGATGCTAAGAAATAAAGAATATATGTTATGTCATTAATGGCTATCATAGGATAAAACCAGTCCATTTTCAAGAGAAACACAGCTACTCTTTTTATTGTGATTAAAAACAAATTTCTCCCCAGTCTTTTTTTTTTAATCCTTTTTAAAAATTTCATTTAGTTATTCATTTGAGAGAGAGAGAGACAGAGAGACAAAGAGAACAAGCAGGGGGGAGGGGCAGAGGGAGAGGGAGAAGCAGGCTCCCCACTGAGCACGAAGCCCTAGGCAGGACTCTATCCCAGGACCCTGGGATCATGACCTGAGCCGAAGGCAGATGCTTAACTGACTGAACCACCCAGGCGCCCCCTCCCCAGCCTTTTAGAAAAGAATACTGTATACTGTGTCTAATATTCTTAACAATATCCTTATAGTATGACAGTACGCTCGTTCGCTTGTCGGCTGGAGTTAGTAATGAATGGCATCCCACCTTCCCAGGCACCTCAGTTCTGGAAAATGACATGCTTAAATAAAAACATGGATAATCAAATCTCTGAAAAAAATACATGTAGGATACATAAATAAATTGGCCTCATGGCTTATACCAATCATCTATAAGTGATGTACAGAAATGATTAACATCAATCATTTTGCGATGCAGGCTGCTAATGGACACCAACGACACCCTCCACCTGAGCTCCAGGAATACGGTCAGACATGGGCAGATGCATTAGAGGCTGCCTCACATGGTGCTATATGAGGAACTAAAACGGGCAACCAGCATCAGGATGGCAGATAAAATGTTTTAAATACTGAACATGCACAGCTTCATTTATCCAACAAATATTTATTGAGTGCTCGGTGTGTATGAGAATTGGGGATGAAGTGAAGAGAGAAATATTGCTCTTGCCCCCACAATTTAGTGAGAATATAGGTCAGTGTGTCAGACTATCAGCTGGTCACCAAACCCATTCTTCTCTCTGGTACAGAAGAACTATATCTCTTAGCCTCCTGTGTGGTTGGTTAGGTGTGGCCGTGTACTAAGTCTTAGCCAATGGAACATGAGTGGGAGTGATGGTTGTCATTTCAAGACCTGATGTGTAAAACCTTCCATGTAAGATCCTCCATGATCTTCCCTCATGTGCTATCAGATATTATGATGCAGGGGGGACTTAGAAGTCACAACTTAAAGATGACAGACCCGCTAGAAGCCTGGGTTCTTGAAAGACCATGTGGAACAGAACACCCAGCCACGGATCACAGAGTGAATTTGAATTGTATTTCTCTCATTGAGATGGCTTTATCTTCATCCTTATCTGCAGCAATTCCTTCACTAACCTATTTTATTTTATTTATTTTTCAAGTTCTATTCAAATTCTAGCTTGTTAACAGATAGTGTAATATTGGTTTCAGGAGTAGAATTTATAGTGATTCATCACTTACATACAACACCCAGTGCTCAACACAACAAGTGCCCTTCTTAATGCCCATCACCATTTAGCCCATCCCCCCACCCACATCCCTCCAGCAACCCTCAGTTTGTTCTCTATAGTTAAGAGTCTCTTATGGTTTGTTTCCCTCTCTTTTTTTTTTTTTTTAAGATTTTATTTATTTGACAGAGAGACACTGAGAGAGGGTTTTTTTGTTTTTTTTTAAAGATTTTATTTATTTGACAGACACAGCGAGAGAGGGTTTTTTTTGTTGTTGTTTCCCTCTCTTTTTTCCCTTTCCATATATTCATCTGCTTTGTTTCTTAAATTCTACATATGTGTGAAAGCATATGGTATTGTCTTTCTCTGACTTATTTCACTTGGCATAATACACTCTAGCTCCATCCATATCGTTGCAAAATCCACTCTCACCACTGCTACTTAACATAGTATTGGAAGACTTAGCCTCAGCAATGAGACAACAAAAAGAAATAAAAGGCGTCCAAATTGGCAAGGAAGAAGTCAAACTTGCACTATGTGCAGACATGATACTCTATGTAAAAAACCCCAAAGACTCCACCAAAAAATTGCTAGAACTAATACATGAATTTGGCAAAGTTGCAGGATATAAAATCAACCGTACAGAAATCTGTTGCATTTCTCTATGCCAGTAATGAAGCAGCAGTAACCTATTTTAAAATTTTTGTATCGTTACATATTTTTAAAGTTACCTCATATCCTTTTAAAAATAAGGCAAGATAAAAAAATGCATAGAGGGATAGAACAACTAGTCATAAGTAATCTTTGGATACTAAGAGATACTGAGAGATATGATGTGTTTCTCCTAATTAATAGAGTAAGAAAAGGTGAGAGAGGAAGGGAGAAGGGAGGGGAAAGAGAAGAAAAATTCTTTCCAGGTTTTAAAAGATTCTCAGAAGGATGAAAAGAATGATCCCTTTACCCTGGGATTCCTTACATAGGAGAGAGTGAAGCTTTCGTTGTTCGTCCACAGTCTCTTAGCTCACCTCCCATGGAGGTCCGTCCTTCCTTCCTTCCTTCCTTCCTTCTTCCTTCCTTCCTTCCTTCCTTCCTTCCTTCCTTCCTTCCTTCCTTCCTTCCTTCCTTCCTTCCTCCCTCCCTCCCTCCCTCCCTTCCTCCCTTCCTTCCCTCCTCCCTTCCTCCCTTCCTCCCTTCCTTCCCTCCTTCCCTCCTCCCTTCCTCCCTTCCTTCCCTCCTTCCCTTCCTCCCTTCCTCCCTTCCTCCCTTCCTCCCTCCCTCTCCTCCACCCTGAGAACTGACCTCCATAGAATTCACTGAGGGATTTAGTAAGTGAAATCAGAAAGGAATGGTTTTAAAGTAGTGATGTGATAATAATGGTGAGAATAATGATATAGAAAAAGAGGTAAGAGGTAATCATCAGAGAACTTTGTATTTATTTGTAGGCAATATTACCGTTACCTAGAAATCTCAGTCTAATAAGCAACTGTCAGTCACCTGTTAAAACACCTCTTACTTAACAAGCAATGGACATTGTCCCCAGCCAGTCCAATTGTCCACACTGACCATTAGCTCCATGTGATTTACTTCTGTCAGGAATCAGTGGAATCCTGATGAAGTATGATAATTTGACTGAGAATTTCATTTGTATCAAAATGACTGATCAAATTTCTTTTCTGGAGAATCGGAAACTGAGGTGACATAAATCCTTGCTTACTGCAACTTTACTGCAGGGAAAGGAGAATTCATTCATTCGATTCCACCTAACGTGTTGTTCTTGGACCACACGGGAGGAGGAACAGTGACGGCCCCAGCCTCACGCACTGCCGTGATCTTTGTGTTGCTGTGCCTCTTGCCTGGCATAGATATCAGCGCTGCTCTATGCTTCCTCTCACGGGCCTGTAGACTATATTGAGGGCTGAATGTGTGCCAATAAGCTTCCAGAAACAAAAAGATCAATGACACCCGTCAATATCCCCAGGGAACTCAAGCTCAATTCAGTCTTCTCCGTCTCCAGCTGAATTTTGTTTCGGTCTTGGCCTGAGGGTCTGTACCAGCTTGCACAGGTTATTGAAAAAATGATCCCTTTACTGTGAGGCCTTGTTCCTCACGTGCAAGTCAGCACTAAAGCCATTTAGAAAACTATCTACTTCTTTAGGTTAATTAAATGCCACCCACTCGTCTTGGCTTTACACTATGCTTCGAGGTTAAGGTTCCTTGGCATTATATGACCTGACCTCTAACAATCTCCACATTGTTATCTCTTGCTACTCCCTTCCTATGTTCTTTCATTTATTGACCCAGCATTTGGGAGCCTCTATCTTCCAGGCATTGCACTTAGCACCGAGGGCACAATGATCACCTCCCTTGGAACTGGAATTCATAGAGGATATGGACATCAACCAGAGATTCACAGAAATCAATCCAAATATGAGAACACATGAAAGAGGGAATGGCTTATTTAGAGTCCCAGGAAGGCTTCCCTGAGGAATGGGGTGGGGAAGTGGGGGCAGGGGAGGGGAGGTGGGAGCCTCCAGGCAGAGGACACATTGCAAAGGCCCAGTGGGAGGTCTCATGCACTGTTAGTAACAGCACTGTGTGGTACGTGCATGTCTATTCAGGGCTGGGGCTTTATAAGCCCTCAACAAGGGTTTGTTCTGTGCATTGAATTGAACTGAGTGTGAGATTGCAAGGCATCACTTGTCACAGTGCATACCCATGGCCCCAGCAGCAGAGGACAGTGATCAAACTGTAGCATACCAGTAGCAGGAACACTGCTTCTTTCTCAGGG